CGCTTGGACCCAATAATGGACGGTTCATTGCAGTTCAAAAAACAGACACTAGGTGGGGGTAGGAGACAAAAAAAAGTTCAGGTGCACCTGCTTTTTTGACACCTGTGCTGGTTTTACACCAACACTATCACGCGTAAATAAATCAGAAGTAAAACATTTGCCTTATTTGTTTTGGAAGACCAAATATGCGCAAAGTTTCAATAAACGTCCACTAAATATTTTCACAGTAAGAGTCCGATAACAACTAATCCCAATCCAATTCCAAACACGAAACACAGAGTTTTAGCTAAGGTTAAGGGCATGTTGTGTGACATAGTATCTAATTATATTTTCAGTCATATTTCCATTAGTAAAGGCTGAACCGCTTCAACAGTTGTGCTGACAATGTTACAATTTCAAACTAAAATATTTATTTTTTGAACCAAGACTGTATATACACAATATATACATCATATACACACTATATTAATTCGCACAGTTGCTGATTTTGTAGTCATCCCCCATCTTACGTTTTTAAGCCGTAGTTTTATTTTGGAAAAACAGTACCGGAAGCTGCAGTTATCTACTGTTAGCTTGGCAGCAGTAGCTCTCGGGGGCAGCTGCACTCCTTCTTTACCTCTCATATTCTGCTGGTAACAAAGGCGAGACAACAAGAGAGGGGTGATGGGTGCTCAGGCAGCAAGCCTGTCAACAATGAACTGAACTGGTTTTGTTTTTATTGGATATTTGTTGCTAACAGCCTGTCTAACTACCGATTTATTTCTTCTCGTGCGCGAGCACAGTTTAAAGTTCATTGATGTAGGTGAGCTGTGGACAGGTTTTTAATCCCGAAGCTTTCGATTTTCTTACAAAACATAAGCAGAGTATGTTGGACTTCGAGCACTGAAGCCGAATGACTGAGGAGAAACATTCAGACCCGTCTTCAACAACACTGGTGAGTGTCTGTCTGTTTATTTATATTTTATATGGAGATTTTGTCTATATTTGGCATTTTAACAGGTGCACTTTGCTGGATTCCGCGAGCACCTGTTCCTTCTGTGGAATATGTTGGGATACAGTGACAGGGTTAAACTTAACAGTGGTTATTTTAAAGACTGTATTAGCGCAGAGTTTTCTGTGGTTTTATGCTATCTTTTCAGATTATATTTCAGAGACTGTTATGAACTCATAAGTCCATTAAGTGGACTAGTCTATAAACAGTGATTGTTTTGTATTCACTACATAAGAAGATTGTTTTTCACAGTAAAATCATGCTTCTTTGTAGGATCATCCACATCTGGCGGGTCTTAATGTGGGCATTTTTATATAGCCTATTCATAACCTCATGGTAGTATGCTCTCTCCTCATATCAACCAACTCTGTTTCTTTCGATTTCCATGAGAGCCCACCGCGCTGTTTGTGTGTGTGTGTATGTTTTCCTTTCTGGCACACCTTTTCCTGTCTCCTCTTCCTGGCCAACGTGGAGCTTGCATCCACATCACAAGTATTGATGCTGCTGAGGTAGAGAGACTCTCTTAAAGCCCCCATACCCAATTTATATACACACTCAATCCATTAGGCTTCAGACCAGATGGCATAATGTGGACACACACACACACACACACAGAACACTGTGCTAATGGACGTCCTCTCTAAAGGCACTTAAGTATTGTTCTCAAGCTGGATTGATTTAGGGGATGACACCATATCTGATATGTATTGGATTTACAGGATAAATACACTGAGTGAAATGAATGAGTGGCCCACTGACCCAGCCTGAGCATCTGTATGGTCCAGCAGACTGGAGCATGCAGCTATTGAGCTAAACAGGTCAACAGAAATGTACACAAAAGAGATGAAATCTGTTAGCCACTGCTTGAAAGAAAGCAATGTCTGGAACGTGACCTTAAAGTGTGTTGTTTTATCTGCAAGTGCATTAGAGTGTTTTATTTTAACGTCTACACAAGTTCTTTGTGAGCAAACACACCCTCCTGTTAAAGGTTTATAAGTTACTCCTGTGGACGGTGATGATAACTGGAGTGAGATGTGGAAAGACCTGCTTCTACACCCACACACACACACAGCTACAGCTCCTGATGGGTTAATGCTTCTAATTCTGAATTATACCTCAACATATTTCTAAGAACTGTAAAGTACTTAAAAACTCAAAAAAACAAAAAACGCATAACGTGACACAGAAACATAAGACAAGGATGGGGTTAGGGGGGTGATTGTTGTGTAGCGCTGTTTGATTTACCTTGTTGAAATGTGAGACTCTTGCTTTTCTTTCTCCTTGTTTAAAGCTGTGCATCGTGTACATGCCCTCCAAACCTGTCTGACTAGCTGGCGCACTCTTTCAGTAACAACTGTCTACTGGTGTTTGTGTGCGGTTGACTTTAGTCAGATTCTGAGTCAAGGAGCTATTATGGTCACAGTGACTTGTCTGTTTGCATGTGTAAGTATAATAAAGATGACAAATATCTTTAAAATGTGGTTTCCCTGAGACAGAACAGCTTATGTATTTATTACACCAAGCCTTCAATCTTTTATTAAAACTACACTAAAACGGTCGTCAATAGTGGTTTTTGATAGGGGCGACATGGGCGGTTGCGTGGTGGGGGCGGTACCACGGGCATCTCCAAAAGAAGTTGCTCGTACTCATGCTGCCCCGACATCAGCCAGCACATTTTGGAGATGGCATAGGCACCGATCGGTTTTCTGCCACCCATTTGCGGGGAGGGCGCCCTCCCCAAAGTAAACTTTATTGTCATCTCCGCTACATACAGTCCAGTATATAGAGAGACGAGACGACGAGGCTCCAGTTACAGCAGTGCAAGTAAACAAACTATAAGAAGAGTAAGAAAATAAATATGCTCTTTAGGCCTAGGGGTAAAGGGATCAATAACAATTTAAAATGTATAATTTACAGTTTGATGATTTAAAGTCTCACACACAACCGGTCGAAAGGGGAGGGTGTGTAAGGTGTAGTTTATTAGGTTATGTTGTGGTGATCCTCGGTTGGGGGATGGGTGTTCATACTGAAGTGCAAAAGATGGAGAAGAAAAGTTCAAAGCCATCAGGTGCTCAGTTTAGAAAAAAGAGAAAAGAAGAGGAGGAGAAACGAGCAGATACCGGAAAGCAGACGTGTGATTGGATAATGGAAGGTCATCCTGAAACAATCAGAATCAGAATACTTTATTAATCCTTAAGGAAATTATGTGGGTTACAGTTGCCCCAAGAAGAAATGGTAAAAATAGTAACAGTAACAGACTAAACTCCAAACAATACATTATGTTACAGATTTTACACATTTAAGAAATAGCACTAATATATACAGATTACTCAGTTATAAATATCAAGAATTAACAGAGGTGGTTATAAATAAATATCAAGAAAATTGACATGAGTATTACAGAGTAGAAAAGAGCGTGTGTAAAAAGGGTGTAATTATTGCAGTTGTTGGAGCTATTTGTTCTTTATTTTT